GGTGTGAATGTCTGGCTTGCATATTTCTTTTCTTTCCTTTTTTTTTGAGACAGCGTGCCGCTAGAGTCTTGGATCAGCCTAGTCACAGCAACTCAACTCCTGGCTAGTGATCCCTGTAGCCTCTTGCCATGTGACACAGCATGCCGGATAATTTTCTATATACTTTAGGGGCAAATTCTTCTATTATAGAGAAATGGTCGGTTCGGCAGCGGTCGAACTCCCTTCTGGCCAGCCTCGCGCCTCGGCCTCCATGCTAGGATTACAGGTGTAGCACCGCCAGGCGCTTCATAATGAAAGCAATTGGTTTTTAGCTGGGCATAAAAATGTCCCATTACCAAAATGGCCACATGGAAACTAGGTACTTCAAAATATCTTTACAAAGGTGGCTTTCAGAACTGGAAAAAGAAAAAAAATAAATAAATAAAAATAACAGTTTTAAAAATTTATATTTTAGGGGTGGGAAAAATTTATAAAATTTTTAAAAAATAAAATAAAATAAAATATCTGATAATCACATATCTTTGTATATATTCTGTTTATACTTATAGCCTTAGATAATTTTTTTTCTTCTTCTTTTTCATTAATTTACTTTATTAATTTTTTCTTTATTATTTATTTTCTTTCTTTTTCCATGCTAGTGAGGTTGAAAGAACAATTTCAATTAAAACTCTATAGCTAAAGTATACGGAATAGGTTAAAATAATAAAATTATCTTTTCCAGAACAGATTATTCCCAAATGAGTCTGGAAACAAATGTTTTCTAGTTATCTGTAAAAATGGGAATGCCACAAAAAGAAAACAAAAACCCCAAAAACCCAAATGTTTTCTATTTAGGTAACTAAGGAAGTTGGAGTAGATCTCCCTAACAATGACTAGTAACAAAATTCTATAGATAATATTGTTAGTTCCATTATAAGACTAATAGCTAACACTTACAAAGTGATTACTATGGGCCAGGGATTATTCTAAGTACTTTACATCATTAACTCATTTAACCTTCACTAATAACCCTATGAGGTATGAGGCTGTGATCCCCACAACATGGTTGAGTAAACTCTGATAGAGAGGTTAAGGAACTAGTCCAAGGTTAGACTAGTATGAACTGGAGGGCAGAATTTGGACCTGGCAGTCAGCTTCACAGTCCCTGGTCTTTAACAAAATGCAATAATGCTTATCTCTAAGAAGGATAATCATTGTTAATGTAAGTAAAACGTTTATTGATAAATACAGATGTTTTGTGCCTACAGGCCTTGCTCTTACAGAACTCCCCCTCCCAGGAAAGCTATTTTGCAACCTTGATCTGGGTTAACTTCTCTTTATTTTTTGACTTAGCTCAGGCCTCACCAATAATAAAGAGGCATCGGTTAGAAATAAAAGACTCAAATTTTAAAATAGAAGTTAAGAATGAACCCTAATCTAAAATTCCCTAAACAAAGTGGTTCCCAGTTCGGCTGAATCAGAATTGTTACATTGCTCTGAATCAGAATATTCAGGGGTGTGGTCCAGGAATGTGTATTTTAAAGAAATTTGTCAGGTAATGCTGAGGACTTCCTACCATTAGGTATTTAGGGCCGGGCGTGGTGGGCTCACTCCTGTAATCTACCTAGCACTCTGGGAGACTGAGGCGGGAGGATTCCTTGAGGTCAGGAGTTTGAGACCAGCTTGAGCAAGAGTGAGACCTCGTCTCTACTAAAATATAAAAATCAGCTGGGCATGTGGTGTATGCCTTAGTCCAGCTACTTGGGAGTCAGGCAGGCGGATGGCTTGAGCCCAGGTTTGAGGTTCCAGTGAGCTATGTATGACGACATTACCGTACTCTACCCAGGACAACAGAATGAGACTCTGTCTCAAAAAAAAAAAAAAAAAAAAGGTATAATTAACACATACAGTTAGAGTGCATTCAGAAGAGGCAAATAACACTTTATCGATAAACATGTAGGGAGCTAAGTGTGCATTCTGGCCCTGTGCTCAACCTACTGAAAGAAACATCAGGGGGTACAGCCCAAGGAGTGTCATATTTTTAGAAAGTCCCTGGAGGTTCCAGAACACACTAATGTCTGAGAACTTCTGTTTTCTAGGCTCTAGTTCGGTTTGCCACTAGCTAGACGCGGGTAACCTTTGACAAATGACAAAATTTCTCACTGTCCTTCATCAGATAATCGAGGTAATCTCCAATACCGGGTCAAGAAGATTCAACTGATATATATTCCTTTATGGCTGTAATATCCTCGCGTCACTGCCAGTCTACTACTAGGCATGACCCTGCACCCAGTCGCTTGCATCTCAGCAGCCGTCTCCTCAATGCCATGCTAGGGAGAGCAGAACAGAGGAGGCAAGGGAACAAAAACTGATTTGAGCATATTATATCATACAGCTGAAATATAAAAATAATTTTAGAAGAATAGATTCTTCGAACTGATTGGGCAAGAAGTTAACTGACACATTTTTGCAGGAATAGGAAAACATTTTGTCTCGTACTTTGCTTAATTCTTTTATTTGGAACTTGAATTAAAGCTGCAGTCCCCAACCCCAGCCATGTACCCGCCGTTGTGGCCTGTCAGAACCGGGCAGCAGAGCTACCCCTCCCCACCCCCGCTTCCCGTGGAAAAACTGTTTTCCATGAACCCAGTCTCTGGTGTTCAAGCAAAGTTGGAGATTACCACTTGATCTTAGCCAAAAGGCGAGAAGCTTGAGGCTGCTGATTAAGCAACTTTTTCTTTTTAATTAAAAAATAACATCTTAAAATATATGTTCTTGATCAGTGAATTTTAAATACTTTGTTGAATGTATGTATTTGAGTATATTCCAGTCAGGCTTAAAAAAAACGTTTTCAAAAAAACAAAAACATTAAGTTTCCATGGTCAGTAAGTATCATGACATCAAGGGGGGGCCCTTCAAATGCTTGGTAGATAGATTAACATTGGTTTCACTTTGCTTTCATAGGCTTATGAATTATTAGCTAGTACCATTAGTTTATAATATTGTTGATTATATATATATTCTCTGAGCGAGAAGGTTAAGTCATAAAATGCAATTCTCGTGGCTTTGCTTGGGAAATTCATAAAATATCTTGTATTTTTCTTTTGGTACTATGTACCTTATCCAGCTGATTTGCCAGTAAATTTTAAAATGTTACTGCAGGATCCTTCCTATTAAGTTCTGTAAGAAAAGTATCCTGCAAAGATGAAAGAAATTTGTCCAGGTAATTCTGATGACCTTCCTACCATTACGGTATTTAGGGCCGGGCGTGGTGGCTCACTCCTGTAATCTTACCTAGCACTCTGGGAGACTGAGGCGGGAGGATTGCTTGAGGTCAGGAGTTTGAGACCAGCTTGAGCAAGAGTGAGACCTCGTCTCTACTAAAAATGTAAAAATTAGCCGGGCATGGTGGTGTATGCCTGTAGTCCCAGCTACTTGGGAGTCAGGCAGGCGGATGGCTTGAGCCCAGGAGTTTGAGGTTCCAGTGAGCTATGTATGACGACATTACCGTACTCTACCCAGGACAACAGAATGAGACTCTGTCTCAAAAAAAAAAAAAAAGGTATTTAATTAACACATACAAGTTAGAGTGCATTCAGAAGAGGCAAATAACACTTTATCGATAAACATGTAGGGAGCTAAGTGTGCATTCTGGGCCCTGTGCTCAACCTACTGAAAGAAAACATCCAGGGGGTACAGCCCAAGAGTGTATATTTTTAGCAAGCTCCCTGGAAGGTTCCAGAACACACTAATGTCTGAGAACTTCTGTTCTCTAGGCTCTAGTTCCGGGTTTGCCACTAGCTAGACACGGTAACCTTTGACAAATGACAAAATTTCTCACTGTGCCTTCATCACGAACAGACTAGGTAGGTAATCTCCAAAATACCTTGCGGCTGTAACATGATATGATTCTAACCAAACATAAAATTTCACCTTCTTCGCAGAGCTGTAAATATCTTCGCGGTCACTGCAGTCTACTACATAGGCATGAACCCTGGCACCCAGTCGCTTGCATTCAGCAGCCGTCTCCTCAATGCCATGCTAGGAAGAGCAACAAAGAGGGCAAGGGAACAAAACAAATTGATATGAGCATATTATATCAACAGCTGAAAAATAATTAAAAATAATTTTAAAGAGATAGATTCTTTGAACTTGAATTGGGCAAGAAGTTAACTGACACATTTTTGGCAGGGATATAGGAACATTTTGCTCTCGGTACTTTGCTTAGCTTCTTTTATTTGGAACTTGAATTTAAAGCTGCAGTCCCCAACCCCCAGCCAGTACCCGGCCGTCTGTGGCCTGTCAGGAACCGGGCAGCAGAGCTCCACCTCCCCACCCCGCCCTTCCGTGGAAAAATTGTTTTCCATGAAACCAGTCCCTGGTGTCAAAAAGGTTGGAGGATTTACACTTGATCTTAGCCAAAAGGCCGAGAAGCTATTGAGGCTGCTGATTTAAAGCAAGCTTTTTTTTTAATAAAGAAGATAAACATCTTAAAATATATGTTTTGCATTCATGAATTTTAAATACTTTGTTAATGTATGTATTTGTGTGTATTCCATATCAGGCTTTAAAAATTAAAACGTTAAGTTTTCCATGTCAGTAAAGCTATTCATGGACATCAATTAACTGGCTACAAAATAAATAATGAGTTAACTACAGTTCATTGACCCATCCATTCTTTCAACATTTTTTTTTTTTTTTTTTTGAGATAGAGTTTCAACTGTTGCCTGGGCTAGAGCACCGTGGCATCACAGCAACCTCCAACTCAAGCGATCCTCCTGCCTCAGCCTCCCTAGTAGCTGGGACTACAGGCATGCGCCACCATGCCTGGCTAATTTTTTTTTTTCTATATATGTTTAGTTGTTCAATTAATTTCTTTCTATTTTTAGTAGAGACGGGGTCTCGCTCTTGCTCAGGCTGATCTCAAACTCCTGAGTTCAAACGATCCACCCACCCACCTCGGCCTCCCAGAGTGCTAGGATTACAGGCGTGAGCCACCGCACCCAGCCCATTCTTTCAATATTTTAATGTGTGGGTCACATTCACTGAGTTTAGGAGAACCTAAGCTCACACACGAATGAGACAGAGTCCCAACTCCAAAAAGTTCTCAGTGTGGCAGAAAGAAACATAAAATAAGTATAATATTTAAGTAGGACCATATAAAATTGTTATTGTTTTCGTAATGAAGGATTGAACATTGGCAGTTTTATCCAGTTCAGTCTAATACATTGTGGTGAGTCTAACAACAGAGTTATGTACAGGGAATTCTGGAAAAACAGAGGAGGGGCAGGCAATACAGTTCTAGAAGTGGTTGGCATGCCCTTTCACCTGTCTTTCCCTGGGGTGAAAGGGCATGGCAGGCAGGGTGTGAGCAAAGATAGACAGAACAGTCCTGGAAGGATCAGCATTGTTGGATGGATCATAAAGTTCAAGACCAGCAGAAGGTCTAGATTAAGGTGTTATGTGTCATATTACGTTTTATGCAAAAAAAAAAAAGTGAAGGGGGAGCAGCTGATTAAATTTTGGGGTCAGGTTTATGTGTTTGGTTGATTATTCTGGCTGATGCATGGAGAGTGGATTTCAGGGGTCAATACTGCAGGAAGGGAGAAAAATTGGGCAACAATTACAGTGATTCAGGCAAGAGATGATACAAACTTGAATTGTGGCACTAATACAGAGGCAGAGGAGAGAATAACTTTTAAAAAGTATCTTTAGGAGGCAAAATCAGCAATACTTGGTGATTGGATGAGGAAGGAGGGAAAGGAGCTTTTTGGTTTGGGGAGCTGTCAAGTCAGTGCCGTGACATGTCTGTCAAGTGCAGGATCATACCATAGGGTTCTGTTTTGTTTTTAATCTTTGCTTGTTTGTTTTCTTGGTTTTGAACAATTTTTAGCTTTTTTAAGGAATGCCTCAAAAGAGATCTTGGATTGGGGTGTAGTCTGTGAACTTTGTAAGCCAAGAAATTGTCAGATAGGCCGGGCGCGGTGGCTCACGCCTGTAATCCTAGCACTCTGGGAGGCCGAGGTGGGCAGATTGCTCAAGGCCAGGAGTTCGAAACCAGCCAGAGCAAGAGTGAGACACTGTCTCTACTATAAATAGAAATAAATTAATCAGCCAACTAAAATATATAGAAAAAATTAGCAGGGCATGGTGGTACATGCCTGTAGTCCCAGCTCCTTGGGAGGCTGAGGCAGGAGGATCGCTTGAGCCCAGGAGTTTGAGGTTGCTGTGAGCTAGGCTGATGCCATGGCACTCTAGCCCAGGCAACAGAGTGAGACTCTGTCTCAAAAAAAAGAAAAGAAAGAAAGAAAGAAAGAAATTGTCAGATAATGCACAAGTGGATGGACCCTGGGAGAACTTACATTTGCCCACAGTGAGTAAGCTAAATCAAAGCAGCAGTGTACAAATTGTAAACAGAAATTAATGTTGCAGAAAAGCCAAATCTCGACAGCTATGGAAAGAATCAGTAGTTTGTGTGGCGAGCTTGTTATGGTAGTAAAGGGAAACAGGGTGTTTTTCCTTTACTGAAATCTCGACAAGCTGTAGTATGCTCTAATGAGGAACACTTATTCCTCAAGAAACATAATCATCTCAGGAAAACCTGCTGCTGCCCTCCTGTAGGTGACCAGCTTTTAGCATTCCCTTTTAAAAGTATATTTTATTTATTTATTTTTGAGACAAAGTCTCACGTCTGTTTCCGAGCCTACGGAGTGCGCATGGTGTCAGCCTAGTGCTCCAGCCAGCAACCTCCAAACGCTGCCTGGGCTCAAGCCGATCCTGCCTGCCTCCAGCCTCCCGAGTAGGGCCTGGGACTCACAGGCATGCGCCAACACACCATGGCTAATTTTTCTATATATTTAGTTGGCCCAATTAATTTCTC